CCAGCCTCCGTTCCTATGACAACCACGTTGGTGTTTCGACTGAAACGCACCATTAGAGTCAGCGATTGTATATTATATATATATATATATATATATATATATATATATATATATAGTGTGACTAATGTAGAGAATAATATTGATAAAATGAATGAAAAAACCAATATTACACACTTGACATGTTTACTGGCCAATAGAGTTGGTAAGTAGGTCACCAACGGGTTCTATGGCTCATGCAAGTTTTATTGAGCCGTAAAACTGGATGGTGACCTACTTACCAGCATTATTGAGTTTTCGGCTTTTTTGAGTTGACTATCGAAAATTATTTTACTTATTTGTACGCATTGTGCTAAAGTATATTCAATATGACTGTCTCTTCTAGAATTTAAAGATAAATGTTACTTTCGTTCATGTTGTACAACTAACTAGAAATCTTCAATATTTAATACTAATAGTTTCGCTGTCTGTCTATCTATCTATCTGACAAGAACGCTCTAGAGAAAACACAAGGAAAATAAACACATGCACAGTAATTCGAAAAACGAAGTATGACGTCGACACATTTAGCGCACAGAGTAGAAAATAATCTCAAACCCAGAGAGTGCTCAAAGTTATATGACGTCATTGATTTTCGCGTTAACATTGAATAAAAAGGAAATGTTGTCTAATCTTAATGGTTTGCGTGAAGAGTTTCTTGCATACAATTCTTCGGGTAGGGGCGAAGCCCCACCCCCCGCGTAAGAATGTCTGAGCCCCCCCCCCCCCCCTCGGGGAGGGGGCGGACACTGGAAAAAGTATATAATTATATTTCGTTGAATGGGACGGTAGACATGTTTTTTTTGGGGGGGGGGGGGGGTGGGGGGGGTGGGGGGGTGGGGGGTGTGGTGTGTGTGGGGGGTGGGGGGTGGTGTGTGTGGGGGGTGGGGTGGTTTTAGTTTAGACTTTTTCCTCCCCAGAGAGGGGTGGGGGTACTTGAAATTTTCGGGGGCGGGGGTAGAATTTTCGGGGAAGGGGCGGACACTGGAAAAAGTATATAATTATATTTCGTTGAATGGGACGGTAGGCATGTTTTTTTTTTGGGGGGGGGGGGTGGAGGGGTGGGGGGGGTGGTGTGTGTGGGGGGGGCGGTGTGTGGAGGGGGCGGTGTGTGTGGGGGGTGGGGGGTGGGGGTGGGGGGTGGTGTGTGGGGGTGGGGTGGGGTGGTGTGTGTGGGGGGGGGGGTGGGTTGGTTTTAGTTTAGAGAAAAGAGACAGCACTATCAAGCTAGCGCCCGGTGTATCCTTCCTCAACGGGCCATTTTTCTCGTATATATATATATATATATATATATATATATATATATATATACACATATCAAACCATTATCAACTACACCTCTATATATCAAACCATTATTAACTATATCGTCATATATCAAACCATTATCCGCTACAGCTATATATATATATATATATATATATATATATATATATATATATATATATATATATATATATATATATATATATATCAAACCATTATCCACTACACCTCTATATATCAAACCATTATTCACTACACCTCTATATATCAAACCATTATCCACTACACTATCTAAACATCACCTCACCAATCACTACACTCCTGTATCACTATTCACTCCTACAATAACATACTATACTCACCGCCTATAGTAAAACACGTACGACCGACCGTACGACTCCACTGGCTGAACGTAAAATGTGTCTTTACTGCTCTTGTCGTTGCTGAGTACCCCCACACTCAAGGACACATCCGATTCTATTATTAGAGTCATGCCGTCTCTAGGGACAAATAGTTTGGGTTAAGGTTAAAAATAAAATTGTACAATTTGTGATTTTTTTTTTTCAGACTGGAACTATGTTAAATAAGTAATAAAACAGATAGTGTTAGTTACCTCACAAGTTAAAGACAGTTACAAATACTATGGACGTTTTGAGCATTTGTAACTGTCTTTAACTTGTGAGGTAACTAGCACTAAACTAACTGTTTTATTAATGTATTATTGTATTAACCTCACTGCAGCTACCATTTGTATTTATCTGAACTATGTTAAAAGGTGTCCCAGTTGCAGGTTTGCGTTAGAGTTAAAGTTGTAAAAATTTGTGTTGCTGTTTATTTAAATTACAGACTTCAGTTGTGTTAAATGTTGTCCATGCTGTAATATTTAGGTTAGATTCAAATAGCCAGAGTTTTATTACTATCTTCGTCCGACATATCTGTCCACCATGTTGTTGTTAGTGACATGTATACAAAGTTGTCTCAGTATTGTCATTTATTTTCGTCGTAAACTTATCATTGATATAGATTCACTGTACTCATACATATCATCGATGTCGTAGATTTACTGTCGCCATCGTTACGTTAGTATATATCAAAGCTTGTGTATTATCATAGTTACCTTACATTGTCAAATTAATAATAGTGTTGTCACAGTCAGAAGCGTAGCTACGGGGCGGGGGGGGGGACAAGGGGGTACATATGTCCCCGGGCGCCGGCCCTAAGGGCGCCAAAAAGGGGATGTGAAAAAAATTAAAAGCTAATTTTAGCTGCAGTTTTGAATTATAAATATAAAAAAAAGATATGGGGGGGGGGGCACCAAATTGAAAGTTTGTCCCCGGGCGCCGTGAGGGGTCGCTACACAGTTATTGTATCATTGTCATAGATTCATTGTCGTCAGTATCCTGAAAATCATCACCATCATTTCTTAACCCATATCTTGCGACATGCTCATACTAACTAAACTGTCTTGCTTTTACTATGCTCAGTAGGCTCTCAATCGATTTAGTGATCCTATTACAGACTTATTCAATGGTTACCACTATGGGGTCGCACATAAATGACGTCACACTCTTAGGGGAGAGGAGGGTCCGTAATTTTTTTGACGGTGTGTGATGATGATGTTTAAATGGTGTGACGTCACACTTTTGCATAATAAAAAAAGCATTGTTAGAAAACGAGTTTTAGCCTCTATTTCGCGTTTTAGAAAACGGTTTTAATAAATTGTAATAGGAATTGATCAAAATACTCTATGTTGACACAGTTCTGACAAGATTTTTGAAAAATATCGATGTTTTAAGAAAAATACAACAGCAATTTTTAGGGGTGGGGGGGGAGGGGTTGTAGGCTGAGGTGTGACGTCATTTTAGTGGGGGGTCTGGCTTTTTGTGACGACGTGTGACGGAGGGGGGGGGGATTATTGCCTCCATAGTCACTCACAGTTAGCTTATCACTGGCGCAGATTAATTCCCGTCAATTATTTAAACATAGTCAAATACTTATAGTCAACTTATAATTGAGGGTTTAAAGAGAATTACGGTCTAGGGCTTAGGCGACTGACCACCATTACGTCATAGGTACTCTTATCATTGAATATACATTAAAATTTAGGGAAATTGGGCAGGAAACAACTGACAAGCATGAGGTCATACTCACCTTATCATTGCAGGTATGAAGACAAAAGTCTGGGGCTGGGCACGACTGACCAGCGTGAGGTCATACTCACCTTATCATAGCAGGAATGAAGACAAAAGTCTGGGGCTGGGCATAACTGACCAGTGTGAGGTCATACTTACCTTATCATAGCAGGTATGAAGACAAAAGTCTGGGGCAGGGCACGACTGACCAGCATGGTGGCGTTGCTGTACCAGTCGGAGTAGACCTGCTTGAGGTACACGGTGATCTGTGAGGTGGACACTGTGTTGATGCTCACCAGGGCCTCCTGTGGGTAGGATCTGGGCAGGCCAATGGCGTACTTGACACCGTTGGGTGTGCCGACAGCTAAAGTTGTGGGGAGTGGAGGAATGTATATATGGTTTGATGTATAGAGATGTAGTGAATAATGGTTTAATATATAGTAATGAATAATGGTTTGATATATAGGGGTGTAGTGGATAATGGTTTGATACATACATATATATATATATATATATATATATATATATATATATATATATATATATATATATATATATATATATATATATATATATATACATAAGTATATATAAGTATAAGTATACATAAATACATAAATACATACACACCTATGTATATATATATATATATATATATATATATATATATATATATATATATATATATATATATATATAATTATACGTATAATTATATATACAATTATATATATACACATATATATATACATCTATGTATACATCTATACATATATATATATATATATATATACATATATATATATATATATATATATATATATATATATATATATATATATATATATATATATATATATAATGTTAATATTATTGGGTATAGGGTTAGCTTGAATAAGATTTAATCAGGTTTATATGTATTATATATGTAGGGTTAGGGTGGAGGGTAAAATTTAAGTTAAGAAACCTGTTAGTAATAGGTAAGCTCAGCAATACTATCAAAACAATTCATGCTATCAACGAGTTACTAAGCACCTCCATTTACCTCTGTATTATTATATAACTGTACACTATCTCCAACCATGAGACTCCCACAGTAATGCAATAGATGAGATACTAAAGTATTACAATAACCTTACCATCCACTTTAACAAATGTGGTCAACAGAATACCGAGTGTCAAAATAGATTTGGGAAGAATCAAATCCATCATACATAACTGAAACGTTCAAATAAAAATCTTCATGCATCATTAAACACTACAATCAAGTAGACTTTTTAAAATAAGATATTTAAATTTCTTTGATATTTGTTGTCTAAATTAGAAACACTTTATTACATTTGTACTTGCACCTTTGCCGATAACATTTTTAAAGTTTAGCCATTTTTGTTTTCAATTTCTGTGATAAATGTAAACAATTAGATCTAAATTGTTTTTCATTTTTATTTTGCACGATTACAGAAAATAATAAAAATATAAATTACATCCAATCTTTAAAGTCTGACACAAATAAAACATATATTTATATACCATGTTTATTATGATAACATCGTAGATCTACATGATTTTTAAAATATGTAATGTGCCTTTAGAATAATTTCGAGAATATTCTCGGTTGAGTCCATTAGATACATGTTATTTTTTCTTTAGATTCTTAGATCTAGATCTAGATCTACTCTGTCTGATCTTATGTTAGAGTATTTAGAACAGACTGGTTATTTAGAAATGTATTATTGAATGAAAAATTATCATTACCGCTTGTAGTTCAAACTAAACACTGGGAAGAATTCACTTTAAAGACATAATAATTTAAGCATTACTTCTCTTCCGGAAGTTCAAAAAGCTTTTTCATTTTTGGTGTAAGTGATTTTTCATGCCGTTTGGTGCGTAATTATCTAGATCTTTACTTGGTACTATTTTATTCCTCTTTCCTTTTTACTTTCTCGTATAAAGAGTATAGACAGTGGCGTAGCGAGGGGGGGGGGGGGGGGCGGGGGGTGCGGACAGCACCAAGTGACAACATTTAGGCGGGGGGGGGGGGGTTGACACCGAGGCAAAAAATAGAAAAATATATAGAGAAAAATGATAATTCCACTTAATTAAGTGATTAATTCGAGTGTTAAATAGTCTTTTATGAGGTGCAAATCGAAAGTTTGAGGAGGGGCGGGGGGCGCAAATCGAACGTTTGAGGTGGGGGGGGGGGGTGCCCGGGAAGGGTCGCTACGCCTCCGGGGGGGTGACACCATTAAGGTAAGTGCCGCACCGGGTGACACCCGACCTCGATACGCCACTGAGTATAGATGAATTATTATAATCGTGCACAAAGATTTAATGAATTTTTTTTTTTAGTTTTTGCCCTATTTTATGTTTTTGTTATATAAAGGATGTATTGTAATCGAGAAAAAATCTAAATCGAGACTTTTGAAAAAAATTTGATATTTCACAACTTTCCAATGTCTCAAAAATGCTTAAATTTCATACCCTGTACGTATTTGTGGGTGTATCTGTTAACACGATAACTCGACGACCGTTTCTGATGTTGACCAAATTTCATATTAAAATATTGTGTCATATTTTTCTTCGAACTCTACTTCCTTAATACTTCCTGTCATTAATTAAAATTACTGTAAAGATGTTCATCACAATTATAAAGGTTTAATTATTTCTAAAATGTTATAAAGTGTACAGTATTATATTAAACTGTTATTCACGCACATGGTAGCAGCAGTGAGGTTAATGCAATTAGTAATAAAACATGTAGTGTTAATTACCTCACAAGTTAAAGACAATTACAAGTACAATGGACATTTACCCCAGGTCTTCGTCAGCATACAACAGTTAAAAATTAGACATAATAAACAGGGAGTGATCTCCCCTAAACGTTCTTGAATATTCTTATATATCACTACGGGGATGGCAACTCGGGATATAGACATGATTTTTAATACATTTTTAATTACTTTAACTTTTTAAAATAGAATAAAATCTCGTAGAAAAAAAGAATTGCGCACCAAGTGAATGGACACACACACATACACGCATACACACATACACACATACATACACACAGACATACGGACACAATTGCAAAACTATGTTTTTCCGACTCAGGGTGGTGTAAAACGATTTCGATTTTTTGCACGATTACAATTCTACCCCTATACTTCGTATACGAAAAAGTAAAAAGACAACATTGACATAATTTTGGACTTAGCTTGACAGTCAAATCGCGTCTTGTCTAAATACTATGTATGTTACTGTCATTTTTTGTCCTACAAACTTGAACCCGTGGTTCGAATTCGAAATGTTCAATTTAACATTTGTTACCTCTACCATCCTACCACGCCGTTCCGTGAAGATCCTTCTATAAAATAAAATCAGCTGTAGATTCTTTCCATTTTAGAAACTAGTGTTTTAACAGAAATTTTGAATTGAAGAAGGTGGATTGAAACAAAAAACACAATTCAATTTGTTTTATTATTATGCTCGTTCTACATGGCAATACACATAATCTAAATGATATATGTTTCTTAAGCTCTAATGATTACGGGTAAGTCTTGAACGTTTCATACTGTATATTTAGAGGCTGTGCCTTTAAATATATTGGACATTAGTAACAGAGAGACTTAGGCCTGTCTTCAGATTTAGAGAATGAAAAGTACAAACGTGGCAAGTTTAATCTGGGCAGTTAAAACCAATCCGAAATGCAAATCTGCACAATATCAACATTATGATTTTAATGTAAACTAATTATACATAGATATAAATATATATATATATATATATATATATATATATATATATATATATATATATATATATATATATATATATATATATATATATATTTATTTATTTATTTATTTAAAAGACGGACAGAAAGTATAGCTACTTCAAAGAGTTTTACACTTTTAAAATTGTTTTATTCTTAAGCAATAAAAAATAATAGTATTTTTTTCATTAATTTATATTTTAGTCAGGCAGGTTTGTTTCTAAACTATCGCTTTATCCGTCCTTGTTTTGATTTAATCATTTCGAGTATTGTTTAATTATATCCCTTTATTTTTAATTTTAATTGTTTTACATATCCCAGGGGTCGGCAACCTTTTGAGACAGAAGAGCCAAAAGTTACAATTTACAAAATTTCCCAGCTTTTAAAGAGCCACTAACATTTTAATTTCAATATTATAATCTTTGATTAGGATTATATATATATATATATATATATATATATATATATATATATATATATATATATAGGTATGTAGGTGTGTGCGTGTGTGTGTCTGATTGTCTTTTATTCATTACTACACCTTTAACCCGATCGCCATGAAACTTTAGGCGGTTGTTAAGATCACTCCTCGGGAGGTATCTACGAAAAAAAAAGTCAAATTCACAAGGGTGGCGCCCAGCACGGAGCAATTCGGTTTATAAAATTAAAAGTCGATTGCTGATTGACACCGTTCATCCGATCGCCAAGAAACTTTGGCGAGTTGATTAAAACAATCCAGTGGAGGTTTCTGCAAAAACAATTATTTCGCAAGGGCGGCGCCCCGGGAGGGTGCGGTATATAAAAAATATAAGTCGAATGCGGTTCAACACCGTTTAACCAAGTGCCATGAAACTTTGGAGAGTAAATGAGAATACTCCCGAGATTTCTGCAAAAAACAAAATTCTTATGTGTATTGCCCGGGAGGGTTCAATTTTCGTCAGTACATGGTTTGGCGCCCAGAGTTTCAGAACGGGTATGTTAGCACTTGGCATCCCTTAATTGGACGTCATGCATAGCTGGTAAGGGTTACTACTTTATTCAGAGGCAAAATTGCAACAGGCGCAGCCGCCGGCACCTCGTCGATTGCGCGACCCGAAGAGCCCCGGGCTCACCTGCTAGCACTATGGCACCTACGTTCGTTTAAAAAAAGGCTATGCACTAAAGACACGATGGGCATCAATAACCATTGCCTTAATCGAATCAGGCGCGCCCTACGACGCGCCGACAGGAAGCGTTTTGACGCCCCGGGCACCATAGCGCCTACGTTCATTTACGATACAATGAGTTGCTATAGTTGCTTACTAAATCGAATGATGCGCGTCCTCCGGCGTCTCTGCAGGGTGCAATTTGGCGCCCAGGGTTATCCCGAGAGCACTACGCGACTACGTTAGTTTTAAGGAGCACCCTACAATATTGATAATGCGGTACACGACATTCGACGATTAACCCGAGCTAGGGGCTGTACATGACGCCCCTGCGATAGTGGAATCGTATTCACAAGAGCGCCACTTTCCGTCCGGTGAGGAATTAACGGTGATATGACGGCGAGTGGTTAACTTACACTCAAGGCTTTCATACAGTACGCCCCATGGCAAGCTGGGTTGTAGTGTAGGTAAAACCCGTGCCCCGATAAATATGATCTAAGCACAGGCATTGTTTACATTTAAATAACTCAGTTTTAGACAACAAGGAATTACATTGAAAAATTGAGTAACTAAATATTCTAATAGAATAGCGAATGTTTATTGTTTATATTTTTTATTATATCGTTCATTACTGAGGGTTGCAGACTAATATTGTCATGAGTTTAAAAATAAAATAATTTTTAATATTTTTGCATGGAGCTCGAGAGCCGCACCTTGCCTTCAAAAGAGCCGCATGCGGCTCGCGAGCCGCAGGTTGCCGACCCCTGACATATCCCTTTTTTAAAGGGATCCACAAATACATTGGAAATTACACAACAGCCATGACGTCTAAATGCCAGAAATCCATTTTATATAAACGCATTTTATAATTTAGCTAATGTATTTATGTTTTCAAGCAAAATATAATGTTAAATAGCCATTAAGTTAAATTGTAAATTTTGAAAAGATTTTTTTAAGCATTTTAATAATTAATTATTTGATTAGTGCAATGCAACATACAATGATGTGTTTTGGTTTTAATTGATATTTTACTTTTGCTTGGTTATTTTAGCTAATCGCTTATAAGTTATTTCCCTTGCATAAAACTTTGAACGATTTTCAAACATGTGTCGAAGCCCCAAACACACGTTTTAAACATGCACTTTAAGTACAGTTGTTTGTCGAGTGCTGTTTAAAATCTTAAGTATTTAAAAAAAAATCAATAAAAAGCATGTCTATAGCCCTAGAAGTGTTTTACTCCTTCCTACCGTTACATAGGAATAAACGATAAGGCTCAGGGGAGATCACTCCCGCTTTACATTCTTTTTGCTTTCGGCAAGTAAATTACAGCGTCAGTTTGCCTTCCAATGTTCGCATAAGTCAGGAGCGTACCGAGTGGGGGGGGGGGGGCGGGGGGTGCGGACCGCACCGGGTGACACCATTTAGGGGGGTGACACCAAGGCAAAAAAAAAGCAAAATATATAGAGAAAAATTTGAGGGGGGGGGGTGCAAATCGAAAGTTTGAGGGGGGATGCAAATTGAAAATTTGTCCCCGGGAAGGGTCGCTACGCCTCTGGGGGGTGACATCATTAAGTGCCGCACCGGGTGACACCCGACCTCGCTACGCCACTGGCTTAAGTATTACTATTTACAGTGTTCATCATTAGCTT